GGGGGGGGGGCGGGGGGGGGCGGGGACGCGGACGCTCGCGGGGGAGTGCGCTGCGTGCGCAAAAGCACGGAGTTGGGCTGCGCGCGCGTTCGAGGAAATGCGAGGACCCGTGACGACCCCGCCTAGGAGCGAGGGAGGAGGACCGACCTTTAGCCGGCTCGGCCCTCCGCGTGCGTCTTGGTAGAGTGCCTGCTTCTTAGCCCCCATTTTGCGGGATGGGAAACTGAGGCACGGTGTGAGCTCGGCTCAGAGTTACCTAGTGGGTAGCGTCCGTGCTCAGGGCAACCCCCCACTTCTGCAAGCTCCCCGTGGGTAGTGCTTGCTGTTGGGGGCTCTTGAGCAGCCTGAGCCCCTCAAAAGCCGCTTTGAGGGAGAGGGCAAGTCCGGCGCGGTGGGTGATTCGGACGCCGCAGGTGGCCGCAGACGTCGCCTCCACACCTTGACCTGCCGGGGCGTGGCCCCAGGCGGAGCCAGCTCGTTTGGCCGCAGTCGTACACTGATCTCGATACCTTGTGGGTCCCCCAGAGTTTGGACAGCGCCCCGCAAACCATACTGACCCTAGTGCCTAGATAGTGAATGCAGCCAAAACGTTACATATGCTACTCTACATATAAACTATCACTGTATGTGAAGCACGCATGGGCAGCCCGTATATGGCGGCTCTGTTGAACTTGTCCATGTTGGGTTTCATGGTCTAAGCTGATGAGGACGACTGACCAGTCTCTTCCTCATATGTATTTATATATGTGTGTATGTATGTGTGTATGTGTATTTATGTATATATGTGTGTATGTGTGTATATATGTGTGTATGTGTGTATATATGTGTGTATGTATACGTGTGTATGTATGTTTGTATATATGCATGTATGTATTGTGTGTATGTATGTGTATTTATGTATATGTGTGTGTGTTATGTATGTATATGTGTATGTATGCGTGTGTGTGTATGTATATATGTGTGTGTTTGTGTGTATGTATGTGTGTATATATGCATGTATGTATGTATTGTGTATGTATGAATGTGTGTATGTGTGTGTATGTATGTGTGTATGTATTTGTGCGTATGTGTGTGAATGTATGTGTGTATGTATGTGTGTTTGTATGTGTGTATGTATGTATTTGTGTGTATGTATGTAGTGTGTGTATGTGTGTATGTATGTATTTATGTGTATGTATGTGTGTATGCAAATGGAGTCTGACAATGCACCAGGGGCGCAGCCCTAGCTGGCTATGTAGACCAGGCTGGGCCTGAACTCACAGAGTTCTACCACCATAAGTACTGAGATTAAAAAGCACGCACTATCACGCCTGGCAAAAGAATATTTAAAGGCAAATGCCGAAATCTGCCGGTTCCGTTTATGTCCGGGATGTATTTAGCAGAAGGTCCAGGTGGCGAGCTTACTGCCCGGCCTCGTAGGACCCCGACGTCTCCGGGGTCCGCAAGGCGTGCGCGCCCCCTGCCGGGCGCCAGCGGAACTGCTCCCAGGCTGGCTCGGTATGGAGTGCTGAGTGGCCGCCGGGTGGCGCCATTGCCCCTAAAAAGCCAGCTTCCCAAGTTAGCCCGGAAGAAACTGAAGCCTGGAGTTATTTTCTCTTAGATAGCTTTTTCCGTCTAGACGGGGTGTCAACGCGTAGCCCATGATGGCCTTGAATTCATGAACCTTCTGAGTTTATCACAAAGTTGAATTCCCAAAAGAGGCCCTGCGCGTGGCCACATCATTGTCTGACTTTCTCTTTTCCTTCTTTCTCTTTTGTTTCTTTTTGTTTTTCTTTTCTTTCCCCCCCCCTTTTTTTTTTTTTTTTCCAAGACAGGGTTTCTCTGTCCTGGAACTAGCTCTGTAGACCAGGCTGGCCTCGAACTCACAGCGATCCACCTGCCTCTGCCTGGGCTGGGATTAAAGGCATGCGCCACCACCGCTGTTCTCCGATGCGCAGTTATGTGACCTCCCGTAGCCCCCTCTCTAAAACACCTCCTTCCCAATAGGTGGTGGTACATGGACTTCTGGGGAGAGATTAACTTCAGAATGGATTTGTAATTTGGCGGTGATGGTAGTGGAAGCTGGGGCCTGATTGGAGGAAGTGTGTTTCTGGGGGATGAGACAGACCCTGGCCTCCCAGTGAGCCGCCATATTCCAGCTTCATTCTCCCTCCATGGGGCCAAAAGGACCTTTTCTTTTTCCTCTGAGAGCCGGCTCAGTCGATGACAAGCTTGCCTTGCACGACTGAGGACGGGTTCGGTCCCCAGGACCCTGGTAAAAACCCAGTCAGATGGGGTGCAACTCAACACTAGCTGTGGAGGCGCGAGGAGCCCTGGGACTCCTCAGGCTAGAGAAATCACTACGTTCTGGGCCTCCATAGCCAGGCACAGCCAGGTACTGTGTGCTGGGCGCCCTCCCTCTCGTGAGTTCCAGGCCAACCTGCTGACACTAGTCAGGGCTACACAGCAGGACAGTCCCAGAATAACACCAGAAGGTGGGGCTGAGAGACTCAAAGAGGACCCAGCATCCACATGGAGGCCAAGGGATCCCACACCTGGCCTTTGTGAGCTACCTGCTGGGGTGCTGAGAGTGGCAGACTAGGTCGAGCCCTTAACTGCTGAGGAGTTCTCTCTCTGCTCTCGCACCTTTATATTGTGGGGTTGTTTGTTTGTTTGTTTTTAATGGCACAGGGCTTTTCTGTGTAGCCCTGGCTGTCCTGGAACTCATTCTGTAGACCAGGCTGGCCTCGAACTCAGAGATCCACCTGCCTCTGCCTCCCAAGTGCTGGGGTTACAAGTGTGTGCCACCACACAGGGTCCAAACTTTTGCATTTATTTATTTACTTATTTATTTTTCGAGGCAGGATTTCTCTGTAGCATTGAAGCCTGTTCTGGAACTGTTGTAGACCAACCAGGCTGTCCTCAAACTCATAGAGATTCACCTGATTCACCGGCCTCTGACTCCAGAGTGCTGGGATTAAAAGCGTGTGCCACCACCTGACCCGGTCTCAAGGTCGTGGCTGGAGATCAGGGTCAGCCTCAGCTACAGAGGTTGGAGGCCAGCCTGGGCTATTTGAGATCCTGTTTCAAAAAAGACAAGAGATGGGGAGAAATTTAGCTTAGTGGTCCAGCATTTGCCTAATAAGCACAAAGTCTTGAAGTAGATGCAGAAAGTGGGGACATTAATCTCCAAACTCTGCAGAGTACAGAGAATTATCACAACCACAGCCAAAACCATGGCCCACAGATGCCCAACCGAAGAAGGAAGAGAAGGAGGTTTACACGGGTTACCCCGGACACAAACTAAGCTTTTAACAACGGAATACGGGCTCGTTTATCCGGCAGGGGTTGGCTCAGAGTGGAACAGTTTGTTCTTGCAAACCGCACAGGGAGCGCATTGAAGGGTTTCCAGGCTCGGGCGTCCTGACGCCATCGGCGGGGTGCGCGGCCAGACTGTGCGGCGCGGTGTGGGTTGCGGCTCGGTCTGAGAGTGCAGACCCGCGGGACCGGCGCTGGCGTCGCTGGCCACAGGGGCACACTCGGCAGAAGGCCTGTCTGAAGTGTGAGCCCAAGAAGGCGTAGAGCAGCGGATTGAGCGCCGAGTTGCTGTAGGACATGCAGTGAGCCCAGATCTTGAGCGCGTAGGCGGCGTAGCTGCGAGGGTGCCACGCCCCCGCGGGGCCCAGGGCTTGGAGCACCAGGAACAGCTGAATCGGGCCCCAGCAGGCAGCGAAGAGCAGGACCACGGCGGCCACCAGCCGGGAGACCTTGGTGCGCACTGCTCCAGCGCGCTGTGCCAGCAGCTGTCCCTGGTGACCCAGGGGTGTTAACAGGAAGGGACAGGACCCCCTCCGAGGTGCCCCCAGGGTCCCCCACCACATGCACACACAGTCCGGGCTCCGATCGCTCCCTGTCGCCACTCTATCCTCACCTGTGTCCCCGCACATGCACATACAGTCCGGACTCCAATCCCCTCCATCAGCACCGTGGGTCTCCCCCCTACGCGCGCGTGTACACACACACACACACACATACGCACACATGCTCCAGTCTCCGACTGACCCCCCAGATGCCCTCCCTCCTGGCCCTGAGTCTCCCGCACCTGCAGGGCGCCGTCAGTGGGAGCGGGGCGCACAGCGGCGCGGCCCAGGTGACGCAGCATGGCACCGTAGCAGGCGCAGGTGGCGAGCAGCGGCAGCAGGTACAGAGCCAGCAGGTTGTAGAGCGCGAAGGCGCGCTCCAGGGCACGGCTGGGAAACGCCTCGCTGCAGTAGGTGCGAGGCCCGGGCGACAGGCGGTGCAGGGCCAGCACCGGGGCGGACACGGCTGCAGAGCCTGCGCCACCCGCCCAGAATGAGCACAGTGGTCGGAGAATGGGAACAGGTCCCGCCCAGGAGCCAGGGTCCCTTCCCCCCCCACCAGTGCCACGCCCCTCCTCTGCGTCCCCCCCCCCCGCCCTATTTCCACCCCAAAACGCACTCACCCACCCAGATGCTAAGACTGACAGCCAGGGCCAGTCGCGGAGTGCGGCGGTGCAGGGCGCGCAGCGGGAATACAGTCACATACCAACGATCCACGCTCATGGCCGTCAGGGTGGCACATGTGGCTTGCACCGAGACCTGGAAAAGCCAAGGACTGAGTGTGGGCCCTGCCAGTCCCACTACATATCTGACCACTCAGGTGTACACGAACATGTCCTGGGAGGAGCAGGCAGTGGCCATGGGTTGAGGGGACCCGACAACCCGGAGAGCTGGGAGGGAGGGAAACACTGGGGTTTGTTAGGCATCCCGATCACACCCACACAGTCCGGAACGCGCCCACTGTGGGCTCTAGCCCATGCCCACCGAGACTCACCAGCGTCCAATCAACCTTTGGCACAGAGACCACATGGGGCGCCTGTGTTTTGGGAGTGTCCATCCTGACCACCCCTCCCTACTCACACCAGCTCAGACCCCTGCCCTGAAAGACCGTGCCCTTGGGAACCTGGACAGACCGCAGAGCGGTTAGCGCACCGGCTGCCCCTGCAGAGGACCGGGGGTTCGGTTCCCAGCACCTACAAGGGCCTCACAACCGTCTGTGACTCCAGCTCTGGGGACCCCACGCCTCCTTCTGGCCTCTGGAGGTACTGCACACACGTGGTGCCCAGATACTCCCAGGCAACACACACACACACACACACGAAATAAAACCACATTTAAATGGGGGCTGGAGAGATGGCTCAGAGGTTAAGAGCACTGACTGCTCTTTCAGTGATCCTGAGTTCAACTCCCAGAAGTCACAACCATCTATAGTAAGATCTGGTGTCCTCTTCTGGCATGCAGGCAGAACACTGTATACATAAAAAATGCATCTTTAAAAAATACATTTAAATGGCTCACGTTTTTAAACCCAGCACGGATCTCTGAATTCTAGGTCAGCCTGGGCTACATAGACTCTGTTTCAGAAATCTAAAATAAGTAAATAAAAGACCATGCCTCAGCCGGGCGGTGGTGGCGCACGCCTTTAATCCCAGC